ATACATAGACAGCTCCCTAGTAATATATTCAAAAAACACTATTTTGACAGATCTTGCCAACCAACTTAACAATCATTGAACCTACAATAGACTTCATCTTTTGAACCTGAAGCCAACTACATTCTTCCCTTCCTAGATATCATGGTAGCTTTTCTGTAAATGTTAAAATTGACTTCACTATTGTTTCTGCATAACAACTAAACAACCTGATCAACTGCTACTCAAATCACTCCTATAAAATTAAATCTGGTATAATTATAGGTTTCTACTTAAGAGCATTAAGAATTTTCAGGCTTCAATACCTACCCAAAGAAGAAACACACATAGAAAACATATTCCAAAAGCTCCAATATTGCTATTACTTCGTCCACGATGCAAAGAGAAAGGCATACAAAATATATGACTGCAACGAAAATAACATTATTCACAATAATAAATTAAACAAATACATAATACTACCTACAATCTCCATAACGTCCACTATCCAGAACAACTTATCCATTTAAACAGCATCCAAATAGTCACAACCACTTCCAAAACTGTTATTGATATAATGCAAACTAAAAACACCCATAACAATAATTCAGAAACAGGCATATATTAAATATATTGCCCAAACTGTTCCTCACAATACATTGGGGAAACATGCAGAAGTTTAAAAAAAAAAATATCTATGAATCCAAAAGGGACCTCATAAATAATGTAACAAATGCAATGTTCATACATAGAAATAAATTTGACCACAATTTTGATCTAAAAAATGCCTCACACATCAAAAGGGAAAGTAATTTACACAGAAGAAAAATCCTTGAGAGTGCTGCCATCGAATATTATCAAAATATCAATCTACGCTTGTTTTTTGTTTTTTTTCCTTATCTCGCCTTTTCTGAAAGATTTACTACTTTTCCAAGCCAACATACATGGCAAGAAATATGTTGGAAAAATCAAAATCGTACCATAACAATCTAATTACAATCCATACAATATTCATTTAAAAAAAAAAAAAGAAAAAATTATTAAATATTACTTGCTCACTTTACTTTTTACCAGACTTTGTATTATAACACTTGGTGTCTGCTATATATGCATTGACTGACCTTTCAGCCACCTGATGAACATTAATGAACCTTCTCAATTTTACAAAATTTGATAAACTAATGACATCCTTTGCCTCTGTGTATATAAACATGTGCAGCATAATAAATCCTACATTGCCTTGATAAAATCTTTCAAAGGCCGAAACATGTTGGTTAAGTATAGTTTTTGCCTCTTTTTTATTCATACATATACATACACAAACACATATATATATATATATATATATATATATAGTAAGATTCTGTTTTTTGGGAGGAGGCGATAAATCTGTGAATTTTTGCTCATATAAAAAAATGTGATATAAAATTCATTATTTTTTATCCATGATGTTGGATGCATTAAAATTATTCAACTTTTTGACAAGAAAAATCTCAAGTTGATGTTAAAAATTGTTGCAAAACATTGTTCATTTATTTAAGATGGAATGATCTATTATGACATCTAATTTGTATTTAAAAACATATTTATTTTCAATTTTTCTAATTGAATTGTTCACATGTATTGCATATGAGCTATTATTAAGTTGTAATAAAATTGGTATTTTACATGAATACTACCTTATGGGAATTGAGATGGAGTAAAGTTGAGGGGGGGATCCTGTTTCATAGATTTGGTGTGTGTGGGGTACTAGACTCTTGCACTGGCCATGCTGACAGGAATTGAACCTGTATTTCTATTTTTTTCACCAGGGAAACGATTCTTTTAATCAAAGTGTGTCTTACCAATGAGGCTATGGGAAACCATAGATCACACTGTGATGGAAATATATGTTGAATTCCTGTCAGGAAGCATATTTTTTTAATTTTTTTTTTTTGAGGACTTCTCGATCTCTAATAGCAGTTGACATGAATTTCACGGATTAAAATAACACAGATGCCAACCCAAACATATTTACCCACTAAAAATAATGACTATAGTATTAAGAAATAATGGATTTAAAAAAAAATCTGTCACTTATTGAATAGAATGGCCTACTCATAAAAAATATAGAAAATTTTTGAGGAACAGTAACTTTTTTTTGATTAGCATTCTTTAGACATTTCTCAGGCTGAGAGACTTATAAGAATAAAAAAATTATTGATTTGTTATAATTTTAGAATGGGGACCCTATTTATAATATGGATACAGTGTTCAATTGAGATTTTGCTTTGAAGAATTACTTGCCTTGGGCTAAGCCACTTCGGTGTTATTTACAAATGTTCAGTTTGAAACGCTAATAACATCATTGATATCTGAATATTTTTTAGTTTTTGAATTTTTTAACCTTTATCATTTTACTTTTTTGAAAATATTTTGGACATTCTTTGTTAATGTGTATCACCCCAAGCAAGGCAGTAAAGTCACTAAGACACAAGGGGTTACAGGGTGTGGAAAAATTAGGAACAGAAATATTAATGATGAGCAGGTGGACAGTAGATAGTGATTGACATTGCATTTAAAATTTTGAAATTTTAAAGTTGGTTGGAAATCATGGAGCCATAAGGGAGTTTCACATGTGAGAAGTGCGAGAGAAGAAACTGTTAGCATAGAACTTACAGCTACATCTAGCCAGCTCAACTGTAAAGTGATGAGATCTTGATGCCAGTCTAATGCTGTGATTAAATACAAAATCTCTAGGTACCATAGCAAAGAGATGATCCAAACAATTAACCATGAAAGTATTTATAGAAAAACCATAGAGAGACAACCTTATTGGGGTGGGAAAGTGACTGGAGCTGAGCTGCTAGATCAGAGTCAATAACATTGCAGATTCATCTTTGGATCTTATCAATGAGCTCAAGGTAAATAGCAAGGGCACAGGACCATATATCGGAGCAATAGTTGAAGCATAGATGAATTTATAAAAACTTTTTGTATGAGATTTTTTTCAGAAGCATATGCCCAAACATTTTAGATTTTTCTTTTTATTGACCTATTAATTTTTTATGGCTTATCAACTTTTTGCAGGTTATTTAAAGCCAGAAAATATTTTTAGATTTAAGAATTTTTTTTTTTTTTTTTTTTTTTTTTTTGAGTGATACAAGTTTTATTAATTAACCCATAGCTGGGGAGAGAAGAGGTGGATTCATACCTTTCCCAAGAGTAATTGGGTGTAAGTAAATATAACGAACCTAACTGGAATTAGAACTCGGCTTGCTGATTACAATTCTGAGCCATTATCCATTACACCACCTGCACATCCAAGCTTACAGCACCTGATATTCCCAAGCTGTCACCCAGCTAGGTACTTAACAGGCTTGATATTGCTTAGCCACAGTGATTGTATGGTAACTGGTATTTCAATGTGATATGGCCGTTAGCCAGTTGAGGTTCATGATTATTTAGCTTAAGTTAAGAAAAAGTGGATGCATAATTTTATTATGTAAATTTTTGTTCTTTACTTAAAAATGTATATGTCCATTTTGGTCGTTATTTAAAAGTAATCTTTTTGTAACTGGTGGAAGTCAACCACAGTTGTCTCCCCCTGGACCAGTTGTAAAAGAATAAAATCCGCCCTGTTTGTTGCCAGAGTTGAATGAATAAAGCTTCAAGTAAAGCTTCTACCTTGTTTGTTTTTCATTACAATAACCCCACCTCAAAAAAGGTCTGTTTTTCATATGCAAAACTGCTAAGGCCAATACCCCTGAAAACAATCTGGGACCTCAGGTACCGATTTGATGCAGTATCAATATCATTAAACAGAACCCCCTCATAAATCAATAGTATGCATGGTGGGGTAATGGATAGCAGATTAGATTGAGGAATTGGCAATCTGTATTCAAATTCTTGTCAAGTTCATTACATTCACTATGTGCAGTTACCATTGGGAATGATATAAATCCAACCCTTCTATAGTAAATAGTAGGGCAGACTAAGTCTTGTAGCCTTTAGTGACAACAAATCTAGAAGAAGGACAAGTCTGAATTCAGCACCTTTAATTATGGGTTAAATAGTAGAGCAAACTGGGCTCTTCAGCCTTCGTTGGAAACCAGTCTATGAAAAGAACAACTCTGAATTCAAAATCATACATAGCCCTGGTGAAGCACATACTATACAACTAATGAAAGGATGATGGATTTTACAATGACTTTGTGATCCTGACTGTGGTCAACTTTGATGGATTTGACAAATCAATAACGCAGCATCATTTTTTGATCCTGACATGTATCACAGCCTAAGGACGGTCTAAAGAATGCTAATCAAGAAAAATATTTCCCAAAAGCATTTTCCCTTTCAATGTGTGGATCAGTATATTTAAGTAGTGCCAAAAAATTCATTTAAAAAATTACTATTGATTTTATGTAGAAATTTGAACAAGAAATTCACACAAATATCTGATTACGAAAGCAAATTCCTATCATTGTTGTAATATTATATAAAAATGTTTTTATTTGTGCATTAAGATAATGAAGAACATTTTTCTTTCTCTCTTTTTCAGTGGAACGCAGAAAAACCTGGGCAGGGACTCCGTCAAGCGACTACCTAAAGTTTGTCTATGGTGAAAAAGACAGCTATGTTGAAGATATCTTGTCAGGATAATTGCCGATATCAACATCACTTTAATTTTCCTTTTCTTTTTTTTTAAGCCTCATATTCTCCTAGGGTCAGTGTAAACTGACACCTTCCTTTTTTTTTTCTATATAACTAAAGTATAATTTTTAAATGCAATTTTTGAAAGTGAAAATTTCAACGTTTTCATCTGAAATCAAATAATACAAACTTTTAAACAAAATGGTCACAATACATAGGAAAAAAAAAAGCTTCAGTTAAAACCCATATCATCCTGGTGTTGGTTTAAAATGACACTTTCTTTTTTCATATATCTAAGCTATTTTTGTGAAGTGAAAATTTCACTGAAATATGTTAGAAATTTTCCCAGTTTTTATTTGAAATCAAAAATAATATTGAAAATTGTTACAGTATATGAAAATAAACCAAAATTCACCTGGTGTTAGTTTAAACTGACACCTCCCTTTCTCACTCTAACTAAACTATAACTATTAACTATCGTTTAGGAAAGTGAAACTTTTACTGAAGTAATTTGGAACGTTTCTAAATTTTCGTCTGAAATTGAGACAATATGACCCTTTAAGTAAAAGGGTTATAATATATAGGAAAAAGATTGTCATTTTGGACTGACACCTGGTGAATAATGGGTAGAAGATGGTAAACAAACAAAATACAACACCATTCTTTCAGCATCTGTAGATGATGCTCTATAAATGTTTTATGGAATTGCTGCTGTTCTTAAATCAAACACTGCTGTTTAACTTCTTTCATTTTTTTTTTTTTAAGTTCTTAAAAAATAAAAATATACAGGCACATTATGATGCACTTTTGTAAACACATTCCATCAAAGAAATTTTCATAATGTCATTATACATGATTAAAATTTATTTTAATTTATGTAAGAGATTAATTGATTTTTTTTTTTCTTCATATTTTACATTGTGTGAGACTAAGCAATTTAAGACATTTTTTTTTTTTTTTTTTTTTTAAGTGGCTGGAACATTTGGTACATCTGTTAACTTGATTTGTCATTGGATGACATTTAGATGATTACTTTTTGTCTGAAACCAGAAAATCAATTACTGTATATTTTCACGTATAAGGCTACCTTTAGTTTAAATTTTTAAGGTATGTGAACATGCCTTTATGTTTTCACACAACTTTTGTTTACGTTTGTATGAGTCATAAGAATGAAATCATTATTTTTATTTTCATAAAGATTCATGTTAATACTTTATATTATTCCTCTTGATTTGATAACGATAAAGGTAAGGAAAATAACATTTGTAATAACATCAACTTTATTTTATACTAGTAGGACTCATTATGATTTGCCAAACTTCTACTGGCCGCATAGGTTATCCTACATTTTTCAGTTGTCTTATACTACAGATATCAGATTTTGAGACTCGTCTTATACATGGAAATATATGGTATAAACACTGTATAAATTTTAATAAAAACAAAAAAATATGCAAAAATAAAATTACCTGTACCATAATAACTGTACATTTGCAGACATGTTTCATGCTGTTAATGTTAACATTTACTATAGGACAGATATATTTTTTGTTTGAAACCAAGATTACATTTTAAATGAACTCTAAGCAAAAAATAAACAAATGAAAAATAACATATAACAGGAAGGAGAAATCTTTTCAGTTGTTTTAAAAAGAAGTAATTTTACTTTTTTTTTCTGACAGATTTTCTTTACAATATGGAGGGAAGTCAAAAAAAAAAAAATGGAGTTACTGATCAGAATTTTATTTTTATATGTAAATGAATATCCAAGGACACATTAAAGGATTTATTATCACAAAATCATAATTATCATCTCCTGTGTTTTTGTTGTTCAATAACATTTATTATTTTCAATATTCACTAGTTTTTTTTGTACATTTCCATGTTGATACTTTTACAGACCAAGTAATATAAGCAGAAGTGGATAAAATTTCACCATTTTCCTCTAATTCTTAATCTGATGATTGAATATGTTCTTTGTGATTTCCATGACTATAAAATACTCATGGAAATTGCCCTATTGCATGTGTTACATATTTGAGCTTGACAACTTTAACAAAATATTGCAATCATGAGTATGAATGAGGTCATTATTCAAAGAAGTAAGAGGGTACAAATGAAAGGATTTGAAATTGACTAGTTTTTCTATTTCACTGAATCTGATAGCATCATTGCAATCTTTGCTTTCCTTTTCTTGCTATTTTTTTTATTTCATTCTCTCTCTTTTTATTTCTTTCTTTTTCTCTATCTCTCTTTCTTTTTCTCTATCTATCTCTCTCTCTCTCTCTGTCTCGTTCGTCCGTTCTATTTCTCTCTCTCTCTCTCTCGTTCGTCCGTTCTATTTCTCTCTCTCTCTCTCTCGTTCGTCCGTTCTATTTCTCTCTCTCTCTCTCTCGTTCGTCCGTTCTATTTCTCTCTCTCTCTCTCTCTCTTCGTTTCGTCGTTCTATTTCTCTCTCTCTCTCTCGTCCGTTCTTCTCTCTCTCGTTAAATCCGTTCTTTTCTCTCTCTCTTCGTCGTTCGTCCGTTCGTCCGTTCTTTCTCTCTCTCTCTCGTTCGTCCGTTCTATTTCTCTCTCTCTCTCTCTCTCGTTCGTCCGTTCTATTTCTCTCTCTCTCTCTCTCTCGTTCGTCCGTTCTATTTCTCTCTCTCTCTCGTTCGTCCGTTCTATTTCTCTCTCTCTCTCGTTCGTCCGTTCTATTTCTCTCTCTCTCTTCGTCCGTTCTATTTCTCTCTCTCTTTCGTCCGTTCTATTTCTCTCTCTCTCTAGATTCGTCCGTTCTATTTCTCTCTCTCGTTCGTCCGTTCTATTTCTCTCTCTCTCTAGTTAAGTCCGTTCTATTTCTCTCTCTCTCTACGTTCGTCAGTCTATTTCTCTCTCTCTCTCGTTCGTCTGTTCTATTTCTCTTCTCTCTCTCGCTCGTCTCGTCCGTTCTATTTCTCTCTCTCTCTCTCTCTCTTCGTCCGTTCTCCTCTCTCTCTCTTTTCGTCTTCTATTTCTCTCTCTCTCTCTTCTCGTCTTCTATTTCTCTTCTCTCTCTTCGTCCGTTCTATTTCTCTTTTTCTCTCTTCTATTTCTCTCAATGTTTCCACCTTTTCTTTCTTGTCTTTACTTTCTGCTTTTTCTTTCTACAAAACATATTTGATTTTTTTATAATGAACTTTTTAATTAAAATTTGATTTGAATGTCATTGTTTGCAAATCGTTGTTTCTTGCTTTAGGATACAAACATAATAGTTATAAACTTTGTTCAATTTTTAATATATATATATATATATATATATATATATATATATATATATATATTTTGCTTGTTTTTAATCATTGTCACCCCAAGTAAGGCAGTACAGCCACCAACATGAAAGGGGTTACAGGGTGTGGAGGAATTAGGAACAGAAACATTAGTAATGACGAGAAAGAGAAAAGAGCAGTCAGGAGGACAGTAGTTAGTGGTTGACATTGCATTTAAATTTTTGCAGATTAAAGATGGCTGGAAAGTATGGAGCCGGAAGATAGTTCCACAAGCAAGAAGTGTGAGCGTAGAAACTGTTAACATAGAACTTATGGTTACATCTTGCTAGGTCAACTCTAAATTGATGAGATCTTGACACCAGTCTAGTACTGCACATAAATTCAAAAAATCTAGATACCATATTGAAGAGCTCATCCGATCAATTAGCATGAAAATATTTGTAGAAAAGAGGCAACCCCATAGTGTTGGGAAAGTGACTGAAGCCAAGCTACCAGATCGGGACCAATAATAGTGCTGATTCTTCTTTGGGTCTGATCAAGGAGTTCCAGGTAAATAGCAGGGTCACTGGACCCTATGTAGCAGTAATATTCTAAGCTTCAACAAATGGTAGACTTATAGATATGTAAGATAGATTCTGGAGAGAAAAACTGTCTAGCACGACACAGTAAACCAACTTTCTTAGCATCTGACCTAACAATGGATTCAATATAGTATTTCCACTTTGTGTCAGGTGAGGACTTGAGCCTGAGACAGGGCAATTAGTCACTTTCCTGGAGGTTAGTATCAGCCATGCTGATGGAAGGCAGTGAGGGGTTTTATCAAATAAATAATGGGGAGAGGTTTAGCTTTGGAGGTGTTAACATTAACAAGCATCTTTTGCCCCGGTTAATGACGGAGTTAATGTCATTTTGACCTCGTTGGACTGATCAGCTTCACTATCAAAGCAGGAGTAAATAGTTGTCATCATTGTAGATGTCAAGTTGAGAGCTGATGTCATCAGAAATGTCATAAATAAAAATTAAAAACAGAGTAGGACCATTTCATGATTTAATAGTAAAGACTGGATTAGTTCAAAAGTTTCCAGAGACACAGTAACTTTTCGGCTTGTGGAGAAGACCTGAACGCCGGACCCTGTCAAAAGCTTTCAAATGTCTAATGCTACGCTTTTTAATGACTATTACAGGAATACCATCAGTTATGCTTTGTGAGGATCTAGGTAGAGATGATAGCAGAAAACATAGAAGGGGTTATATACATATCACTCAACAGAGACTCGGTTCTAAGTCAGAAGTTAGGCAGGGATACCTCAGTGAGTCAAGAGTAGAGTTTGAGGAGAATTTATGGGAATAGTATTGAACTTTATCAACTGAGGATGGTAACACCTCAAATTGATTGAAGAGGAAAGGGATAGAGGCCTTACACTTACTTAATACCCTGTTACAGAGCCGCCAGTATGAGATCCAAAGTTATTAGAAGCTATGTAGTACCTCATTCTCTCAGTAAACAGGAACTTAGCTCCTTTGAGGATTTGCTTACATTTATTATGAGCAGCAATGAATACCTTTTGTGACAATAGCTGTCCTTCTGGTATAGCTGAAAATTACTTGTTCCTGTGTGTTATAGTGGTCGAGCATGTTGGTGTGAACCATGGAAAGGATTGAGGTTTCAACTGGTATTTCCAAGAAGACTCGGAGAGATGTAATTGGATTGCTTTAGCATAAAGAGATTTATAACTATAGCTCATGGGCAACTTTGAGTCCATGTACGTAGGACATTTATAGCTACTAAGTTCGATCATCATAACAAATAAGAATGAACAAATACAAAATCAATAATTCGAGTTCACAACACTTTTTTCTTTTTCCTTCCCTTCACGACGCTTCTTACTTTTTCCTTCCCTCCCCGACGCTTTTGTACTTTTTCCTTCCCTTCACGACGCTTTTGTACTTTTTCCTTCCCTTCACGACGCTTTTGTACTTTTTCCTTCCCTCCACGACGCTTTTGTACTTTTTCCTTCCCTCCACGACGCTTTTGTACTTTTTCCTTCCCTCCACGACACTTTTGTACTTTTTTCTTTCCTTCTTGATGCTTTTTACTTTTTCCTTTAGAATAATTTGAAATATAATCATTACTACCTACCCAATAACTGTTAGGATAATGCAATAGACCTTGCTACCCATATTGCACCAATGAATACCAAGCATAAATAGTTGAACCAACACAAATGGTCTGAAGATTGCACTCAAGCATGTAACAGACAGTCACCTCTCAGTATTGACCTCGGAATTCACTTATATATAGGGTGATTGAAAAGTAACTCCCCATTTTAAAATAATTATTTATTTCTTAACTGTAATTTTTACAAGAAATGGATATGAAAGGAAAGTATTTAGCATGAGGTTTTAATTAAAATTCGATATTGGCACTAGATTTCACTACCAGGTTCTTGATCTGCCCAAGAAATGTGTCAACTGATTTCACCAGGAACTCTTGTGGTATGGCAGATGTAACTTGTATTCATCCTTCAAATTCTTCCAAAGTCTTGGTTTGGTAGAGTAGACTTGCTACTGAAACCAATCCCAAAGAAAAAATAGTCATAGGGTGCTAAGTCAGGACCCATGTCTGGACACTCATATGTAAAATCGGAGTTATTTTTTAATCACCCTGTATATTCTTTTGAACAATGTCGACAAAGTCTGTTCAATTTTTTATGTTATTCCAACTTGTAATTGGACAGACGAACTTTATTGGTATTGTTCAAGAAAAATTATTTAAAAGACTTCTTGCTGCCTAAAAACTGAATACAAACATAAGATTATATATGTGGAGATTTACTTACAAAATGTGCACCATTTTTCTGTTATCAATTCTTCCAAAAAGTGATGCAGATTGTACACAAACCTTCATCACTATACACAAATCATATTTTTCTTTTGCTTTTAATGCTTTTTTCTTTTTCTTTTTCTTCTTGACTCTTTTTCTTTTTCTTCTTGACTCTTTTTCTTTTTCTTCTTGACTCTTTTTCTTTTCCTTCATGATGCTTTTTTCTTTTCCTTTTCGACACTTTTTCTTTTCCTTCTCAACACTTTTTTCTTTTCCTTCATGATGCTTTTTTCTTTTCTTTCTCGACACTTTTTCTTTTCCTTTTCCTTCTCGACACTTTTTCTTTTCCTTTTCCTTCTCGACACTTTTTCTTTTCCTTTTCCTTCTCGACACTTTTTCTTTTCCTTTTCCTTCTCGACACTTTTTCTTTTCCTTTTCCTTCTCGACACTTTTTCTTTTCCTTTTCCTTCTCGACACTTTTTCTTTTCCTTTTCCTTCTCGACACTTTTTCTTTTCCTTTTCCTTCTCGACACTTTTTCTTTTCCTTTTCCTTTTTTTTCCCTTTTCCCTCGACACTTTTTCTTTTCCTTTTCCTTCTTTTTTCTTTCCTTTTCCTTCTAAACACTTTTTCTTTTCCTTTTCCTTCTCGACACTTTTTCTTTTCCTTTTCCTTCTCGACACTTTTTCTTTTCCTTTTCCTTCTCGACACTTTTTCTTTTCCTTTTCCTTCTCGACTCTTTCTTTTCCTTCTTTTCTCTTGATGCATTTTTTTCTTTTCCTTCTCGATGCTTTTTCCCTTTCCTTCTTGATGCTTTTTTACTTTTTCCTTCTCAAAGTTTTTTAGTAGTTTCTGTGGAAATGTTTTATTCAAAATTATTTTCTTCTCCCTTAATACATGTAAACTACAACCAGAGAAAATTTCAGATTCTAATAAAAAAAACAACAACAAATTGTATTTTCTTGCAATAATTTTTATGAACACATTTCATATGAATGCACATTTTTGGTTTAAAACAAATTAAGAATTCATTTTATTCACTTGATATACAACTTATTTTTAGAAAAGAAATTAAACATGGAAACATTTTGTTTGGAAATGTAAAATGGATTGAAAAAAAAGTTCAAATAACAAAATATAAACCCTTTTATATTTTAAAATTTTATTTATCTTTTGTTTTTATAGCAAACTTTAAAAAAAATTAATTGAGAAAAAAAAAAACTTTTTTCTTCTCAATTTTCATTTTAAAAAAAAGTGTTTTTTTTTCTTTACCTATGAACTATTTAGGATACATAGGTTTGAATGGGGTGCAAAATATGTCAAAAGGAAAGATGATTTGAGATCTAATTGCTTGGAAGGAATGTTTTGTTAACATTAGTTCATTTTTATTAGTTCAAAACAAACAAATTAAAAAATGTATGTTTTTTAAAACCAAAAGTAAAACAAAAGTGAATAAAAATTAGTGAATAAAAACAACTTTCACTGCAGAACTTTATTTTTTTTTTTTTTTAAATTATAAAAAAATAACTGTAAAAGATAAAACATTTCTAAGATGAGCATTATCATTATTTATTTTTAACTGTTTTTTTTTTCTTTTGTCAGAGTTGTTGAAACAACCTTTACATTTGAACATGGCTGGTGCAAGGGGGTTGTGGGCCCGCCAAATCTATGATATGCCCTCACCCACTCTGCTACATCTCAGTTTTCATAAGGTAGTATTCATAAAATACAAATTTTAATGTAACCTAATTACATACAGTAATGGATCATATGCAATATAGATGAACAATTCAAATAAAAAAAAATTGAAAATAAATACCATGAATCTAAATGCAAATTAGAAACATGTCATAATAGATCGTTTCATCTTAAATAAATCAACAATTTTTAACACCAACTTTTATTCTTGTTAAAAAATTGAATTTTTAATGCATTCAACATTATGGATAAAAAACAGTGAATTTTATATAATATTTTTTCAAGACTTAGCATGAGTAAAATAATTTTTGAACAAAAAACCGAAAAAGAACCCAGAATGATGTCAAAATCAGGGACAAATTTTTCATCGTTTAATAGTCAGTTGTGCTTAGTTTAATTTGTAACATATATAAATATACGTGGAAGAAAGCAAATGTTGATAAGATAGTGAGGGTCACAAAGCATTGCCTAGGACCCCCGGTCAGGCTTTCCCGTCCCCCAGTCGAAGGTAAGTGGGTACTACGCACCGGCCCTTCATCTGAATAAGCAGTACAATTAGACAAAAGAAATAATTGTTAAAAATGAATAATAACTAAAAAAAAGAACAAATATTAAAAATAAAACAAAGAAAATCTTGGCAAACATACAGTTATGTGTCTGCCATAAGATGGTGTGTCAAAATGACATTTTTTTTCTCATGACACAGCTTTGGTAACTACTTCTACTCTTTGGCAGTGTTTATTGCTTTAAAAAGCTATGATTAGAATTGGAATAAAACATAAACATAAAAGTGGATTTAGATGTTTTCTTTGTTCTTGAGAATTTACAACAAAAATAATAAACATTCATTTATTATCTTATTTATTTGAATGGATGGCAAAACATCAGCTAATTTCCAATTGGTTCCAACTTTATAAAATGGTAAATAATAAAGATTTTTTTATAGTTGGTTCACATATTTTAATAATTTAGTAAATGTTTATAAATTTATGAATAAAAAATTGTTTTTGTAAATAAACAGTCTAATAAATAGAGTTTAATATTTTTTGCTGTATATTCTCAAGAATAAAAACAATTTGTTACTTTACTTTCATCATATATTTAGGTTTTATTCCAATTCTAATAATCATTTTTTTAAAACACTGCCATCAAGTGAAGGTAGTTAAAAAAAAAAACAAAAAAAAAAAAACTGGGGTCATGAAAAAAACCATCCTTTTAATACTTTCATATTGTGGGCAGATTTGTCCATGTTTGCCAAAATCTCAAAATTCTAGTAAACTGAAGTTATTTGAATATGTTTTTGTTAAAGTTTAATCACAACTTTTAATAAATCTATAAATACTTTAATAAATAATTTTAATACTTATATAGATATATCAATAAATAATGTTGAATGTTTTTCAAAAATATAAAAAAGGTTATTAAAAAAAAAAACTGGTACTTAGAAAAGTAAAACTTTTCAATTTAGTTAAAAAAAAAAAAAAAATGTAGTTTTGTCCCAGATTTTATAATTGGTCTTTGTATTTTTTAAAAATATTTTAAAAAATATGTGAATACAAATAATTTAAAATTTTCAAACCACAACAATTACCATTAAAGAAAAAAAATTATCTGAAATGATCTTATATAATAATTTTCTTACTTGTGGGTTCTTTCACGAAAGCTTTATTATAATTTTTTTTGACAGTAGTCATCTGTCTTATATTACATCTAGCATTTTGAAAAGCATTAAAAGGTGGGGGGGAACAAAAATCCCTTGAATTTAAATATCATAAGTTTTGCAGTGAAAGCATGAAGGAATATTTGAAAGCGATACAAAATTCAAAGCTAAGCAAATGTTAAATTAGTTAATAATTAAAAATAACTATTTGGTGATTTGTAAATCTTAATTTAACCCCTTACATCTTAGTGGCCTTATTGCCTTGCTTGGGGTGAAATGAACTAAAAAAGACAATAGTAAAACATTTTACAGAATAAAAAAGCATTTTGTTTAGTTTAGAGGGTAGCTTGTCCGCCTGATTTTCCTTATTTTTGCAGTTCTAGCCAAAATATTTTCTTCTTTAAACTGTCAAGTAAAATTCCACAATGAGATCTGTTTAACAAATATATTCAAAAGAAAAGCATCTTGTGAAATTATTTTGTTGTGCTAAAGGTGGGATTTCAGTAAAATTAATTTTTTTTTTTTTTTTTTTTTTTTTTTTTTTAATGAATTTAAATAAAATGAATTTAAAAAAGAAAAAAAAAAACTATTATCATCATTTCCCATTTGTAAATTTCCCAATATTATTAGAAACTTTTCATTGATTGATTTGTTTTAACTTTTTTTTTGGAGTGGGGGGGAGATAATGATTTAGTGATACAAGACATACTAATTAACTCATACCTGGGAGGGAAAAGAGGTGGATTCATACCTTTTCCACGGGTATTTGCACATAAGTAAATATAATGAACCCAATGGGAATTGGAACTCGGCTCTGATTAACAATTCAATTTCAAGCCATTATACCATGCACATCCAAACTTAAAGCACCTGGTGTTCCCGAGCGGTCACCCATCTAGGTATTGACCAGGCGTGACGTTGCTTAACTTTGGTGTTCGTACGGGAACCAGTGTTGCAATGCGAATGTAAGGAGAAAAATTTTCATATATGATTTAATTTCTCTAAAAATTTATTTTGTTTTTCATAAGCAGATTTATCTCCCTTACATTGACATCAAAAGTGAGACAAAACATGCAAATATATCTAGCTGGTTTTATATGGTAAAAAAGTATTTGTTTGTGTGTATGGCTTTCAATAAATATTAGTGGAATCTGCAGTGAAACTTTTATTATATATGTTTCACTCCACTAATATTTATTGAAAGACATACACAGAAACAAATACTATTACTTATATATAATAAAATAGTAATTACTGGCTGCTTGTATCCAAGTATGCCTATCTGTTAGGAGGGTGTCTAGCCAATCACTATTACAGACACCTGCTCAGGCATATATATATATATATATATATATATATATATATATATATATGTGTGTGTGTGTGTGAATGGAAAGACAACTGGAAAACTATGTTTACTTTAGCGAACATATTTTGTCACTCGGACTTTATCAAGGCAAATTTGATGGTTTTGCAACAAGTATATATTTGACAGTTACTCAGAATTTCCATATTTAAGAACACTCATAAATTTTCAGTAAGTTAATTGAAAAGATTTATGTGTTAGATACTAGATTATGTCATACAGCATATTTGAAAGGAATTTTTTAAATTTAAAGTCACTCAATAACATACTGTAATGCCCACTACTTCAGCTCGTATGCTTGAAAAAGGAAAAAAAAAATGGAAAACAAGAAAAAATTCTTGGATTGGATGTTTCTGTTAAATGCTAAAATAAATTCACCTATCCCCACATAAAATTCTAAAAATATGGCAACCAGTTACCAATGTTTCTTCACTTTGGTAAGAACTTCTATAGACAAATATTTGGTTTACAATTGGGATCTCTTCTTAGTTGAGTTCTCGCTTGTCTATTTTTAGAATTTCTAGAAAGTAGGCCTTTTGTCTCTTCTACAGATATACTCCATCTGAAAATATTTACATGCACACACATACACACATGATAGGATAGCATAAAGAAGATATATAAAAATACGTACGAGATATGTTTTAATAAAAAATCAAACCAAATCAAAAAATTTTTCAAAACATCCTGCTACATCTCATTAACTTTTACACACTTTTCATATCCAGAATGTTACTCACACATATTTAAATATTATCTGTTACTTCATTACACGTGACACATATCTAACTAATAAGAAATAACCAAACGCAACATACCATTAATCTGCATCTCTTTGCTTCTTTTCAATTTTAATCATTTCTAACTTGATCTCTGACGAAGCTTTAATAAAGTGAAACGTGTTAGATTAAGATCTGTTTCCTACTTGTTCTTTATCCTATCATTTTGTCAGATACTTGATCTATATTTAATCTTCTATTCATTCATTCATTCATATATATATATATATATATATATATATATATATATATAATCCAACTACCTGGTCACTAAGTGAAAAGTTGTCCCTGGCTGCTATTTCAACCTACAATCTTATCCTGTTCAAATCTAGGGCTAAATATCTTCCTCGCATATTACCCATAAACTCCACCTCTTACTCTGTAACCCTCTACCGCGAGTGGCTCTTGAGCCTTTGTATTGGGTGAACATTACTGTATAAAAAAAAAAAAAAAATGTTTCATCACAAAGAAGATGGTCATTAAGTGGGAAGTTGTACCGAACCTTGAATTTAAGCATGCTACACATGAATTGGATTTTTTTTTTTTTTTTGTGTCAATCAGCTTCAGGATATCTATAATGTCATGTTTTTCTCTTTTATTTCCAAATGGTCAGACAGTACAGAAGTGTTCCTGAATCATGTCGATTTCAAGCATTGTGGAGGCACCAGATGAGCCAAACTCGGACACTCAGAGTGGTGCCAGTGACAATGACACTAGTGTACTGAACAGTAAATGTCATAAATAATTTCGTAAATCAACTCTATATTCTGTAGATTACTTTGGTTTGTAAATAGACTATGAGTAAATTTTGCAAACTATTTTGCCTCGTTATCTGCATGTCATTAATCTACTTTGGTATGTGATCTACAACACAAAAATTTATTTAGCATTTTTAGCCAATGTCTGATCTGTTGCAAAAATCTTATTAATAGAAAATTTTTTAATATTTTAATTACATTTCCTCTGTAAATATGTTTTACTGTCTAGATATCATACCAAATTAAAATTTGTAGGTTGTGGACATTTTAGCCAATGTACATGCTGTTTATCACTAGAATATAAATAAAAGAAAAATTTTTTATATTTTAATTAAATTTTCCTTACATTATATATATGTTTTACTATGTTTATTGTTTTCCGAAAGTCTTGTCACCCCTACATAATATAATTTTATTATTTCAGATGGCTGACAACCTACTACAGTTTGGAAGAAAGGGTTAGGGGTGACAAAACTTTCGGACCACCCTATAGATGTCATTCTAAAATAAAATTTGTATAGTGTAGATATTTTATTCCTTGTAGATAAAACGCCAAAGTAACAGAGTAAATTGTTATTGATCGCTCTTTTTATTTTGTTTCATTTTATTTTGAAGAAAGAGAAAGCAATCGCAATCAATGTTTTTGTACAACATACAATTCACAACTGGTTGGACTATTTCTTTTTTTTTTTTTTAAATTGGATTTACCCCAAACAACGGTGTAAAGCCACTAAGACACAAGGGGTTACTGGGTGTGAAAGAATTAGAAGGCAGAAACATTAGTAAGGACTGAGAGCAACAAGAGAAATCAGGAAGATAGTAGATAACGATTGACATTGCATTTAAATTTTTGAAGATTTAAGTTAACTGGAAAACAAGAAGTCAGAAAAGAGAGTTCCACAAGTGAGAAGTACGATAGAAGAAACTGTTACCATATAACTTGCAGTTACATCTAGCCAAGTCAAGTGTAAATTAATGAGACCTTGCCGCCAATCTAGTACTGCGCTTAAATTCATAAATACTAAGTACAATAACAAAGAGCTCAACCAAATGATTACCACAAAAGTATTTACAGAAAAGGTACAGAGAGGCAACTTTATGGCAGGGAGGAAGTGACTGAAGGTGAGATGCCAGTCCAGGACCAATAATATTGCTGATTTTCTTTGGATTTTATCAAGAATCTTTAAATATATAGCAGGAGCAGCGGACCATATGTGGTAGCAATATTCTAAGTGTGGACAAATAGTAGATTTATAAATATACAAGACAGATTCAGAACAGTAAAACTGTCTGGCATGACACAATGAACCAACTTTCTGAGCAGCTGATGTAGCAATAGATTCGAAATAGTCTTCGTACTTTATGTTACTGGAGAATGTTAGCCTAAGAAGGTGTAACAAGTCACTCTCCTGAAGGTGGTATTTATCAATCCACCCACGGGGATCGAATGTGGCACAAGGCCTTTTTAATGTGGGTATCTCTGAGCCCGTGGCCCAGCCAAAAATAAATAACCATCCAAACCCGCCGAGGCGGGCCAGTTCCGTCAACCTCCCCCAACGAAACCCTACCCTTTGGCAGAGCTTCGTCCGGGTTCCTCTCTGCAAGCAGAAAGTTTGACAGACACCCGACCCGGCAGCTCACAAAGCGCAGATACTACACTTTGATCCTACCCACCGGGCCGAAAAGGACAACTTTTTTAAAATTTTTATTTTATGCAATTTTATAACTGGTCATAGGTCATCATATCGGTAAGTCATTAACTGAGGAGCAACTGTATTCACTTCAGTTAGATTTTTCTTCCAAGGTATGGCAATTACTCTCTCTTGCCCACAAGCTGAGACTATGAAAAAAGCAATTGTACCTGCTCAAAATGAGAAAAAAAACAAAAACAAATAAAACCCCTACTTTAAAAAATTCTATGAATTTTCTGTAAGATAAAACATAGAAAGTTTTTGTTTTAATCATTTGACCCTAAGCAAGGCAATAAAGCCACTAAGATGCAAGGGGTTACTGAGTGTTAGAGAATATGAAAAAAAAAAAAAACACTATTAAGGAGAGAGAACAATAAAAGAATTAAGAAGACAGTAGATAACAATTGACATTGCATTTAAATTTTTGAAGATCAACGTTGACTGGTAAGCAAGAGGAAAATTCACCAGAACAATTACCATAAAAGTATTTATAGAAAAGACACAGGGAAGCTATGTTATGGTGGTGGGAAAGTGACTGAAGGCGAGATGCCAGGTCAGGACCAATAACATTGCAGATACTTCTTTGTATTTTATCAAGAATCTCTGAATATACAGCAGGAGCACCAGGCCAGATATGGTAGCAGTATTCAAACCAAGGATGAATGGTAGGCTTATAAATAAGATAGAATGGACAGTAATTCTTGTAAAATAAAAAAGTACTTTGAGATGATTGTGCATTTTTGTTTAAGGAATGAATATTGTGTTGTTTTTTTTTTTTAAATTTGTTTCCTTATTTTCATTCCTGATTACAGCAGCTTATAGCTTATAACTTGAGCCTTGATCAGAATAAATCAATGGATTCAAAGAAAGAAAAAAATTTTCATTTTATGATATATTTCTTACAGCTATTCAAAGAGTGAATGTTGATCTGAGTTCATGCCTTTGAGATCAAAAAAAGTGAAACTGAGAAAAACAAAATTCTGTGTTTTTTTGCTTAATCATCTATTTTTCATAATATTAGAGTTATCAAATAAGTAAGTTGAGCCTGGGTTAGACTCTGATGAGATCAACATATGGTGACTCAAAGGACGGTAAAGTGAAATTGGTGAAATTGAAAAAAAAAAAATAATTAAAATTAGTAATGACGAAAGCAACAGCTTTGAAAAGGTATAAGTGAAAGTAATTTAGTGTTATAAATGGAAGGTCAATGTAAAAATACGAAAAGAATTCAAATATGAAAAAAGAAAAAAAAAAACAATGAGTATGAATGGAGAGTTCATAACAGTGCAAAATCTGATGGCAGGAATATTTCTACTGGACGTATCAGTACAATGTATTTTTATTTCTTCCGCGTGGCTTGCTTCATT